CTTGTAGGTGACAAATAGTTCGATAACACACACATGTGCTCTATACAATGATGAATGCTGTTTAAAACTCGTGGAATCTTGTTGTTCCGCGTTGTAATAAAAGCGAGAAAATGATAAAGATATTAAATGTACGGGGAATTTGAGCCCGCCTTTTTTGCGACATGCTCATGGAAGATAAATAATAAAACGTCACTCGGGCTAAGTAGAAATGTTTATTATTGTTTTCATAATTTGACGCAAATGACTCGTTGGTACGGTTGTAAAACTAGTTTTTAGTCAGTTTCCCAGGGGGCGGGGGGTCTTAGGTTTAGGTTCAATTTACACACGGGACATATGTTTGTGTTACCCACAGAGAATTGTTCTGGATTTGGGCGATTGTTCTCCTGAAGGTTTGATGTCAAGCAAGATCTCGGTGATAAAAAATCTAGTTAATAACATTAATAAAATAATGCACATATTGTGCCAACAGCACCTGAGTGGAAAACGGCAGAAGAAAGAAGAAGAGTATTGATAATAATCAATATTAGAAGTTGACTTTCTCAGCAGGTGCCTGTTTTCGGCCAGATACATGCTTATTTGAGAAAAATACTTAATTTTTTTGTCCAGTATCTTTTTTGTGTACGAAATCTTGAAAATTTAAGACGGCCGCCATGGTTGAGACTGCAATTTAAAATGTCATACAAACCATTAAGATTGCAGTTTATTCGCCTGACGGGGAACCTGTGCGTCCAGACGGCGCGTGGGTTAGATATACGAGCACCGTACGTACATACATGAGGAAGGACTTTATTAAAGTCCTCGTGAAAACACAACAATGAGTCGGTTGCAGTAACTTAATCTAATCCGAGAATGAATCCGCAAATGAAATCTGCCACGAATGTGGGGTTTAATCTCGAAGCTATGTGGTAGTGTTAATCTACTAGTCTTAACTTGTAACTTACGTGACGAAAATTGACGTGATGACACGCGAAAAGTTAGTAAATTTTAAGTGAGAAATAGCTACACGTGGACGCTTGTCTGTAAATACTAAAATGGCATGGAATTAATATATGTCAGTTTAAACAAACTGCTTAGAATTTTGGCAACTTATTACGTCTGTAATTGGATATTGTAATGTTGTTAGAAATTATTATTACTTTTTGTTTCTATCTATAGATTTCTTTTTTTATTCAATATAATATAAAAAGTTACAAACAATTTTGGTAGTCCACGAAAATAGAAATAGAACTTTGTTTCTAGAATTATAGGTTTAAATATTGCTGCGACTAAAGGCAAAATAACATTTGAGATGAAAACTTTTTACAATTTTATTTATACATCTTTTATGAAATTTTTATATACAAAATACGATTTTTATATACAAAGTAGTGGCAAAGTGACAAATATGTAAAGTAACAGCCTATACACGGTCCACTGTTGTGCAAAGGCCTCCTCTAACTATATAGAGGTTATCATGGCATAGTCCACCACGAGGCCCCACTGCGGATTGGCGGACTTCAAATATCTTCGAATTATGTTATTACTTCGAAGAATATGCAGGTTTTCTCACGACCGCCGCCGCCGGTGAGTACGTGATAAGTCAGCACTTAAAATTAACAATTTCATTGGTGCCGGCACCGGGGATCGAACTTAGGTTGCTCGAGTATATTGAATTAAAGGCGAACGCCCAGACACTGAACTATCACGGCTCTGAAAAATATGTATATGTTAATAATTTTTAGAAAATAGTATTATCGAATGACAAATAAACGATAAGAGATGTTACTTCATTGTTTTCCAGCAAAAAGTTTTATTGTTTGTGATAGACGAATTTGTAATATTTATGAAAGATGTATGCCAATTAAGTGATATTTAAAAACTTTCGTTATTACTATGGAGTATAGAAATTTAAGAAAATCTTATGTTATAATAAATATTACGTCACTATTATTTATTGGCCCTTAGGTAAAGTTTTGTACTTAAAGTTAAGTGGCTTCTGAAATTCATTAAAATTTCGTATAATTTAACTACGGTTTACGGCGCGGTTAACTAAAGCACTAGGTTTGATGAGTTACCTTAATCAAAGTAATGGCTAGTTTTCCCTATAATTATAAAGTAAAATAAATTAAAGATTCGGGGATACCTTTATTTAACTATATTTTATATTTTTCTTTATTATTATACATTTCTAAGATTAAGATCACAACCAACCAATTTATCTATAAAATTGGAAAAGTGCCTTCCAGTAAGTAGATTGCTACGCAAGAATAGTATAATACTTATATCACTTTATAATAAGTACATAAATTGCTTGCCGCTCACGTGTAAATTCAGAAGCTGTTAAATAAATCTCTCTCAGTCGACATTCTTGCAGCTTATTTGCTTAGCTCACACAACGTTGGAGACCTCGAATCCGTTCATGAAATGCAATAATATGCATAAACTATTACCATGCATTCCGATTATTGTCGCACGTTTTATTTTACCGTCATATAGGACCGCAGGATTTCTGATGCACTTTTATTTGTTTCTATATTTTAAGGTTGACTACGCATCTGCAACCCAATGGTTGCAGATTAGACACCCCATTAGTTACCCCATAGACAACTACACCTCAATAGGTGTAGTTGTCTATGGGGTAATCGCTTAACAACAGGTGAATCGTCTACTCGGGTGCCAAAAGAAAAAAATACATAAAAAGGCTTAAAAAATAAGAGCATTGTAACTTTTTTTCACTAGCACGAATTAAATTTACAACATTCGTTTGTTTCTTTAATCCTAACCTCAATTACTCTTCTTTTAAGAATATGAGATGGTATCACGGAATACGTTAACAAATCATTTCACTTTCACGTGTTAGTAGCCAGGGCGAAAAATAAAACACGCAAGTTAAAATAAAAGAATGGCGACTGTGATTTCCTCCGGGCGGTATAAATCTCCGCGCGGGCAGTAGGACAGCGATAAATAACCAGGCTTACTGTGGCTGCGCCGGCTTCTGTTCTTGTTAAATCCCCTGAACATATATATCTGCTATAAAAATATATATATAATATATGAAAGCTTAGATGTGTTTAATGAAACGATTGCATATGCATTTATATAAATATTTTTAGAACACATTCTTTTTACACAACGTTTTCTAGTGCCAAACTAAGCAACGCTTGTACTATGGGTACTAGAAAACTGATAGACATACTTAAACATACTTTTCTTTTGTAAATAAATATACATATATAAACACCCCGACACTAGAAAAACACTATGCTCATCACACAATATTTTTCCAGTAGTGGGCATCGAACCCTCCCTCACCCCCTGGCGCAGAAGGCAGGTACACTACCGACTACGCCATTCTGGTTTTTACGCCATGGGTATTTATATACACACGTAGCGTTTATGATTGCATATGGAATGATGACAAGTTCATTAATTTATCGAGTTACAGGAAGCGTGATTTCGGTGAACCAGCACCAAAGATCTGCCCCACAAATGCACAAAACACTCTCATACTTTGTTCCGATTATAAATTATTAATATGTCTGGCCCGGGCGTAAGAGTCAGGATTGCCTTATGAGTGGACATTTAATAACAACATATTTTTGATCGCGTTTTTTGGATGTAAGTGCAAAATGCTTTTAAAGTCCACGTTAGTTCCATTTGAAATAATAGAAAGTTGTCTGATGCGATTAATATAAATGGATAAATTTATAAGTGGTTACTAACGTAAAATATTTTTTGTGTTTTGTAATAACAGGCTTAAACATTAAATCATCGGTTAAAGTTATTTTGTTTTAATCATATACATTGAAGCAATGTACATTTGTACAAGTCGGTACTTGTATCGAGATACTTGTACTTCACGTTTACTGGAACACACATAAAGGGCGCCTTAATAAATAAAACACGAGCGCTCTAACTTACAATGCGTATTAAACGTTAGAATTTCCTTCCTGTCCAATAAAAACGGTGGCCAGTGGTGTCGTATCTCGAAGGAAACTGGGCAGGTCGTAATAAGTCTGAGAAATAAAATAATTCCCAAGTGAAATACACACACTAATGTGACTAATATTATAATATCTTGCGCCCAACATATCTGCTCTAGCAACGCCGGAAGATTTAGGTGTAGCTTGGAGCATGTTATACCATAAAAAGCCAAGAACTAAAACATTGGACGATCAAAAACATCGGAAAAAAATGTATACTAAATATTTTACCAATGAGAAATTGTTGTTTGTTTATAAATGTTAAAAATAAAGTTTAAAAAAATGTAAATGTAATGTTAAAAAAAAAAGATGTCATGATTAATAAAAGAGCAGTCGTTTCTATCTTTGTGAAATATGTGTAGGCGGTGAAAACGAAGTTTATTATTAAGACTTAATTCTAAGAATGGTTTTTTAAATGCATTTTAAGGAAGAGATACAATATAGTATAGTGAAACGTGCAGTTTCCTTAGCACAATATCACGTACGGAACTAATTCCAAGTAATTTTCTAGTATAGAACACCATATCGGGGTGTTAAACCAGTTTTTTGTCCGTCGAGTTTTATTAAATCCCTTTAATTCTTGCCAATTGGCACATAATCCATCTGTATTTACTATACCGCTAAAATTGATACATATATACTATATCAGCAACAGTTAGTAACAGCGACCATTTTAGTGTGGAAGTGTTTTATAGGTTATTTATGTTATTAAAGTAAAGCTCCTGATTTAGGTCTTAGGAACTTTCAAACACCTACGCGCACTTTGCTGATTTTCTCTTTGATAGAAACTATTTCGGGACCAAGGAAAATTATGTTTGCAACTTAGTCCCTTTCTATTTCTAGATCCTACATTTACGCAGAAATCGTGCATGCATATCGTAGCACAGGTGCAACGATATTATATTCAACTGTATTACTTTTTATGTCATTTTCTGTATATAACCTGTTAAATTCGTGCATCAAATATTACGTGCGTGCAATGTATTCGTTACTATCAAGTTGCGATTGTCTATAGCCAGCGGTGACCTTTTACATCAAATGAAACAACCAAACAACAGCGGGAACATGTTTGTTACTTGCGCCGCCCTGTCTCCTGTTTGGCGGTAGTGCGTTTCTATCTGCGTTAATCTGTTTGATCAATTAACGCTCATCGATCAGAATAGTTAAACGTGTCCAGCACAATATCCGTACGCGCAGCTCGAGTGGATTTACGTCTGTGCCACTGTTGCATAGAGCGCGGTGCGCCTCGGCAAGGCTGGCTCGTAAAGCGCGGACCACACGCGGGCGGAGGTGTGAAGGCAGCGCCCGCGCCCCGGGGGCCCGTCGCATAACTCACGAGCAGCGGGGCGCCCCGGCCATTCATATCTACCTGCGCGATTCGGCTGCCGACGCCGCGGCCTGTCGGTGCACCGACGGGACCAGACACACTGTCTGCCGCGCTCACGAAACAACGGCCGGCTCATTTACCCTGATCAGTGGCCTGTACCGATCGATTTTATTGGGAAATATGGACAGTTACCGAGGTCCCGACGGTCGTACGGTAACGCACACGCTCGACGGGTATCGGATCGCATAGGGTAACAGCGCGTCAAACTGGACGTGTTTGATTGACGAGTTAGTCGGTTGAGAACCGATCTAGCGTGGATTCATACTATAGTTTATTATTAGTGAAAGCAGAGATATTCTCTTCAGTCGTTTAGTTCAACTGGACGGAATAAAAAAATGTTTAATCAACCATTTAAAGACTACGCATAATAAACTGCGATTATTTTGGAGTTAGAAACGGGTATGACAAAATTAAATAAATAAAAATCCACAACAGTCATTAAAGATACACGCGTTTGTTTTTTATCCGAAGAGACGAGTCAACAAGTCCATAAATTTCTACCTGAAATAAAATTGTATTCGGTCAATTAGAGATGTAAAAAATTAATCATAAATCGTAAAGGTATTTATAATAGGGGTGATCTATTACTACTTGATATTACCGGAGCGTCGTATGCGACCGGAACACTAATTCCAATGATTATCTTTGAACAAACTCATCCAAACATAATTCGTGAGGGCCGTAGAGTTTCCCTTCTAATAAGTTCTCTAAGTTCCTAGGGCGACCACGCGCGAGACATCCCACAATTTACCTGTTACAAATTAGACGCAACCCGTTATTTAAGTATCGGTAGCGGGGCTAGCGTGCGTTGTTATTTTAATTTGATTTCTTTCACGTATTGTCGGTGTGGGCGCCATTTGGCCACTAATGGGCCTCTCGGCTCATCGCTTAAAACGCGAGTAGAGTAATTTTACTTAAACTCCCGAAAAAAAGAGCCCCATTCGAGCCGACTTTACACAGGTTAACCCGATTTGACGTGAGCTTCGTGCAATTGGTTATTGCCATTATGCTAATTCGCGGTTTTCGACGGTTATAACACGAGCGTATTCCTATTATGACGGACGTATGATTTTGTATGGAACGAACAGATGATAGCCATTCCGATGGAGACGGTTATTTTCGAGGTGAACGTTAGTTGGCGTTTTGAAGCGGAGTTAACTTTAATTATGAATGTTGAATCTTGCTTCGACAGGCTATAATTAGGAGAACAATGGCGTCTGATTGAAAGTTTAAATATGGCGCGAGCAGAGATCGTGCGTAGGTTGAGTTTAAGACAACCGTAACCGGTCTACGAATGAAATTAATAATTTTCTAGGACCATCGACATGGTTACGGTAATAGGCAACATATGTTCTTGTTAGCTAGGATATAGAAAATCTGCCGCTCTATATTATATTTATCCACGTTTAAAATTATATGAAAAAATACAGATTTTTTAAATATTATTGCTATACGTTTGTTATGGTAATCCATCGTAATTATGAAACTTTGGAAGAATCTTTTTGTTATCAAAGGACGAGTATTATCTATTTTCCTCTCTTGATCCTGTTCAACCTGAAAACATTTGAAAATATTATGATTCTATATTTGTATTGACGTTTATTGATTTAAGAATATGTTTGCGCATCTTATTTCATTCATTATTCACTTTTAAATTCGCAAACTATATCAGTTTCCTTTTATAACGTAGATACTAGTCAACTTTTTTTTAATTGATTTTTTTTTTTCTTTTTTTTTTTTGTAAAAACACTGCCCTTACTTTAGGAAAATGTTATCCTGTGTTGTAAAGGACGTTTTACAAACATAAATTTCACGCGGACAAACACCCAGATGCGAAACAACTATCTGTGGGTCACACAAATAGTTGTCCCGTGTGGGAATCGAACCCACGACCCCCGACGCCGAAGCCAATAACTTGGCAACTGCGCCACGGAGTCATCAAACCACCGTCTACTACAATATTCACCGTCTACTTTACACTACGTTAGAGTTGAAAAAGCATTGCCAGTCTTTAAGCCATGAAAAGGTTGGCTTTTTCTTCTTCTTAAAGGTTCTTGTGTGAAAAATTACTACGGTAATAATTATAGTAAGAGTAGTGACATCTTATGTGTTAAATCTTTCAAATCGTTTAGACGTTTTAAAGAAGTAGACATATGCATGAAAATGTGTAGATGTTTTTTACATGCCGTTTCGTGATACGGTTTAAGAAAGGTTATATTATCATACTTCGGTGGCGCCGCTGCTTAGCTATTAGCTTCGACGTCAGGGGTCGTGGGTTCGATTCCCACACGAGAAAAGTGTTTGTGTGTCCCACAGATATTTGTTCCGGGTATTTATTTCCCAAGGGTTGACGCCAGGCAGAAGTTGGTAGTAAAATTATATCCAAAACCGATTACAGCATGATTCAAATATTGTGTCCACCCAACCTAGGTGGAATAAAGGCAGAAGGATGGGAACGAGTATATTATCATATGTGAATGTTCACCTTAACTGTGGTAGGGCCACGCAGCAGCCTCGGCTATTGCACGAATGGGAAGGCTCGTCCGGGTAAGTACCACGACCTCACAGAAGACCGGCGTATGACCAATACTTTTGCGTTTCGTCTGGTGAGTGAGGTAGCCGGAGCACAATTTTCAAAAGGTTGTCAACGCATCTGTAACCTTCGGGTGTAGCAGATGTCCATGGGCGGCGGTATTCACTTAACATCAAGTGAACTGCCTGCTTGCTTGTCAACTTTTCACATAAAAAAACACCAATATAGTAAAACTAATTTCCCTAGAACTATAAATTTATAAAAATTACTTATTAAATTTTTTTTTATTATTTATTAAAATTACAATTTGATCTTTAATTATTAATTTTAAAAGCTTATCGAATCAGTATGTATTCGATGTAAATTAATAATTTGAATAATGCCACATTGAAGACCGGATGTGACGCCACGTTGGCAACCTACCTTGCGTGCGCGCCGGGCTCTCCCCACGCATGGGAGCAGCTTCCGTTTCCGATCTGGCGCACTTGTTGACCAGTCTGCCGTTTAATTTGGTGGGGCCTTGTGCCACGATAATTCGAACGATACACTGCCACGGGCTTTTTAAGTTATATTTTATTTCTTTTAATTTTTTATTTTAGTTTTATCTTAAAATTGTCTTTTGACTTATTACATTACTTTTAAGTGATATAGGGGAGGGCACAGATAAGTTTTCCAACAGAATGGCGAAACAGGAATAAAAAGCTCCAACTAGGAGAACAGCAAAAAGAGTCTTCATGACCATGGACGTTTTAAGTGTTCGAAACATCGAGATTTGAAAAGCAAAATAAAACTCGGTTAATTCCGTAAATTAGTTTGTAAATCAAACAACCAAAGATCAACAATGTGAACCTGTTGAATAAGAAATTCTCCCTATTATAAGCGAATCGTAATTCTTACGTAATGTTACAATATTGACTTATATTTATTATCAATTGAAATCATCACGTATCACTTCTACGTACGGACGGTACGTAGAAGTGATAAGTGATGATTTAATTTCAATCTAAGTTTACTAAGAAACGATAAACAATGTAAAGATATGCGGCCTTTATCTTCATGGGGTTAGTTAAAGATGTATTTTTGTATCTAGAAAGTTAATATTCACTCAAAATACCTTTTTGGGCAATTTTATTGAATTATCTTATTTCCTTCACATTTTTTAAAGTAATATTATTGCACTTTACCGGGCTCAAAAGTGGTAGATAAGGTGATAGTAGTCAGTGAAATTGTTGCACTTCATCAGGAGGGTTACAGCTAATGGCTCGTGGCTCAGAGCTAAACGTGAGTCGTTTGACAAGCCAAAGCACCTGGTACTATCGTGATACCGAATCTGGCAAGGGAAGGTCTGCTTCTGGAACTGGTCTTGCACTGAACCTCGTGATGATTGATGATTTTCTGGTGAGTCCCGACGACAAAAAGTGCCACGAAGATTTTTTTATGGTGGAAGGTGACAAGCGAACAGGTGGTTCACCTGATGTTAAGTGATAACTGACGCCTATTGATATTAGCAAGATCCGCAGGATTGGCAGATGCTTTACCACCTCTTTAAGTGGGCCCCGGATACCTCACTCACTAGACGAAACGCAGAAGTATAACACTTCCATTTCACGCCGGTCTTGTGTGAACTCGTGGTACTTACCCGCACGCACCTGCCCATTTGTGCAACGGCGAAGACTGTTGCGTGCCCTACCACAGTAAGAATATGACGAGAATGCTTGCAAATGTTACAAGTTATGATTTATTTACACATATTTTAAAGAAATCATAATTTATGGTTGAGGATGTGTTGTATTTTGGGAAGGAATAAATTCGTTGGATGGTATGGAGTTAGTGTTTATCGAAAACGGTACACTGATTGGACATAACGGAAGTTTTAGTTCTTGATGTACAACCAACAAACAGTTTTATAAATAAAACGACATGTAATAATGCAATATTACTAAATAATTTGGTGGTCTACCGCATAGTTTTCATAATTAGGAAAATTTTCACTCCTAAACTAGACGTGACTAGGTTTTAGGTGAGACGAGTACGGTATTTTGATTTTATTATTTTCATCTGAGAAAATAGGTATAGAATCTATACTCCCTTTTTGCTTTACGTATTTTCGGCGACCGACCATAAAACCTCTCGCTATCGACCGTTTGAGCATCTCTGCCATAAGGTATATTCGCTAGCATGCCAATAGGAATGCAAGACGTGATTGTCACAATACATTCTAAATTGGTATCTGCTTTTACTTTAACAAAAAAAAACGAACGACGTGCTTAACTTTTGCAAAAGTATAATTACTACTGCTTTGAATTTTAATTTTTTTCTCCCTGTATCCATTGACTTTCCGCACATTTGCACAGGTCGTCACTCCTTCTGGTGGGGGTCGTCCTACACCACAATGGCCAGTACGAGGCTGCTACTCAAGAACCTTTTCCCATCGTTTATGGCAGTCTGTGGGGGATGCCTAAGGTTCGTAGTGGACTAAAACAGACTGATTTGATGATGATAAAACTGACGAAAACTATTCTTTGCCTATTAATTCAATGAATTTCAAATTGTACAAGAAATGCAAAAAAATAACAAAATAAAATTACCGGCCTTGGAAAACAGAATATAAACTTACTACACAGGAGTCTTTAGAACCAAATAGGTTTGATGA